CTGAAGACTCGATATTATATTTTATTGAGTTGAATGGTTTAAATAACAAATCTAATTACAAAAATAGAAAAACCAAATATACAAAAATAGAATAAGTGGACGAAGACTTCGCACACTTTGCCAAAACAATGGCCCCTAAAATCACGCTCCTCCATTCGCGTGAACTCAGATGTTTTTACAAACTTAACTAAATAAGACAGGGCTTTTATTTAACAATCTCCTCCTTAAAGCTGTACCTTATTATTTGAACTCCGATCTTTGAGCGTAGTTCTTCAAATTTCACCCGCGCCAGGGACTTGGTGAAAATGTCTCCAAGTTGTTCCTCTGTTCGGATGAAATCAATCATGATGAGCCCTCGATCTGCACATTCTCGAATGTAGTGGAATCTGATTTCTATGTGCTTGCTCCGGTCGTGCAAAACAGGATTTTTGATCAGGGAGATCGTAGCTTTGTTGTCTACGTATAGCATTGGTGGATCGCTTTCTCTCCCGATGAGTTCTTCCATTAGTCGTGCAAGCCAGATCCCTTGAGTTGCTGCCATCGAAGCGGCGATGTATTCTGCTTCGCAGGAAGACAAAGCAACTACCTTCTGTTTTGTTGATTGCCAGCAGATCGCGCCGCCTGAGAGAAAGTAGATCATTCCGCTGGTGCTCTTACGATCATCAACGTCTCCTTTCCGCTCCCTGCGCAGTATCTTACGCCCCAGCCTCTGGTTCCGGCTACATAGCGCAGGATGCGCTTGACAGCCACTAGATGCTCCTCCCCGAGAATTTACCAGATAGCGCAGACTCTCGACAATGCTGCGGTAATTGGTGGAGTCGATTGTCGTCGTAGTGCCGGCCTTCCTTAGTTGGAGTCGGGCCTCCATTGGCGTTCTGGTAGGATTACTGTCCACAAGCCCAGTGGTGTCCAGCAGCTTCTTCGCGTATGCACTTTGGCAGATGGAGATGCCGGAAGAGTTCTGCTGCACTTGTTCTGCTGCACTTCGATGCCAAGGTAGTAGCTGAGCACGCCGAGATCGCTCATCTAGAAGTTTTTCGACATCTCCTTCTTGAACCTTCCGAGGGCTCCCACCGTCGCCTCCAGTGATTATGAGGTCGTCGACGTACACTCCCACAATCAGTCGCTTCTTGTCGTGGCCGTGCGTGTACATCCCATGCTTAGAGGTACAACGTTTGAATTTCAGTGACAGAAGGGTACTGTCGAGCTTCGCGTTCCAGGCTCGTGGGGCTTGTCGAAGTCCGTAGAGTGCTTTGTGCAGGCGCAGTACCTTATTAGGGTTGTCGTTGTCTAGGAAGCCAGGTGGTTGTCGAACATAGACGATCTCATTCAACTCTCCGTTAAGGAAAGCAGACTTTACATCCATATCGTGAACCTCCCAAGAGTAATGTGCCGCAATTGCCAGCAAGAAACGAACGGATTCTAACCTTGCTACTGGCGCAAATACCTCTTCGAAGTCCACTCCTTGCTTCTGGACGTAGCCCTTCCCACAGTTCGAACACTGGATCGGCCTGCCATTGGTCGACTCCTTCTTTTGATTCCCATCTTTCCCGTGCGTGCGCCCGTGGGACATCCATGGCTTCTTACCACCTTTGCGGCTGGAGGAGGACCCGTTGCTCTCGCCGGTGTTGTCGCGGAGCTTTAGGCGTGCAAGCCATTCCTCCTCCGTGAGAAGTAGACAACCCTCCTTGTCAACAGCTGAAGTGGTATTCTTCTTTCGCTGCTCGACGTTACGTAGTCTTCCGGTCACCTCTTCCACTGTTAGGTCGTTCACGTCAAGCAATGTCTCGTTGCTCAAGATGATCGGGGACGACTTGCAACATCTTCTTCACGATTTCTGTTTCGCTGATGCTACCACCGAGGGTGGGGATGCTGTTGGCGAGCCCCGTGATCCGCATTGAAAAATCATCGACGGATTTGATTCCCTCCCGGTGCGCTTGGTGGAAAGAGACGCCAGCATCTCTGGGGGCACACAGATCGTAATATGGCAGCGAGCGAGCCTGCTTGAGATGGGCCCCATGATGTATATTTATTTTTGCGCTTTGCATTTTCTTCTACTCGAACCTAAGACCTATGTGTTATTAGGTCGACGCTCTAACCACTTGAGCTATTCAACTTGATTTTTGATTGGTTGGCTCTTCTGTGATGGTATACTACCGATCGCTCGAAAAATTGGCCGAAGGTTTCTTCGAAGGAAAATTTAGCGGAAGTAAAAGGAGAGAGAGTGAGAGATTCGCTGAGATTGCTGAAGACTCGATATTATATTTTACTTCAGTTGAATGGTTTAAATAACAAATCTAATTACAAAAATAGAAAAACCAAATATACAAAAATAGAATAAGTGGACGAAGACTTCGCACACTTTGCCAAAACAATGGCCCCTAAAATCACGCTCCTCCATTCGCGTGAACTCAGATGTTTTTACAAACCTAACTAAATAAGGCAGGGCTTTTATTTAACAGTCTACCTAATTAAGTACTATCTACTAGTAGTCAGGCTCAAGAATTAGGTAGCCTTCCGAACCAAAATAGGTTGTGAAAACGATCAAGGAGTACAATTTAGTGCCCAATGAATTGGCAAGGTTTGCGCCAGAGTTGGCCAGTACAGAGATGATGATGAAGATGGACCACCTCATTGTAGTTCTAAGGATGAGATCTAGGGTTTGAGATTGCCCAAAACTTCCTTAGTTTATGCACAAGCAACCGGTGATGCTAGGACAATGGACATGTGCACTTGGTTTAGAGCGTATGAAACCTGTGACTGTAATCACACCCTAATGGATGAAAATGCCTTAAGTTGCAAAACATTTTATCACCGTCTAAGATTTGAAGCCTCGAAAATTTGATCTTGCTACTCCCCTCTCTAACCGAAGGTGTAATTAACCTAGATTAGATTTGGTAGTAGTGGGAGGAGAGAGATAAAACAACATAAATGTACGTATGTTAGTGATTTTGCCACATGTTGGTTTTTTTTTTTTTTTTTTTGTCTGAGTGGAGAATATAGGGCAAGCCATGTTAGAAAGTGGGGTTGGTTATAGTTGAATTATATGGCACACGGGTTGTACTGCGCCCTCTCCATTCTGCAAAAAAAACACTGCAAAATACTGTAACACAAACATGATTCAGTTGGAGCTTTTTCAGGTTTTTAAGATCGCTGCTGCAGCTTCCTTTATCTTTGTTTGTGGCCCCCCTTTGCTTTTGGCTATGTCCCTTAACATCATCTTTTCTTAGGCATTCTGTTAGCAGGTATTATAAGTGCTTTATCCATCTCTGCTGCCACTGCCATTGCTTTCTTCTTCTTTTCTTCTTCTTCTTCTTTAGGCTATATTCTTATTTAATGTCTGATGCCTCTGAAAATATTGATATTCACAGTACTCAACTACCTTAAGAAAAGGAAAAAACAAAAACAAAAATTGTCTCAACGGTAAACTATGTTTTTGTTTTTCCAACGTTTTCAATTTGTTTTGTTTTGGGTTGTTGGATTTCAAATAATCGGCCCGTAAATCCTCTATTTGGTGAGAAGAAATTGTCGACAACAGGTTGTTAGGAGGAAAATAAAATGCGTAAAATAAGAGGAGAGAGAATGATGAAATTTTTACTGGTATTCTGACAGATTTCCTATTTAAATATAACCTATCCGGCTGGAGAGTGGCCAACTGAATCTGTGCCACTTCCTCGTCTAAAATTTAGTCAATCCGAAAATGAAGGTAATCGTGTGGATCTAAATAAGGAAAAATCAGGTTTTATCTAACCTGGTTATGAAAATTTGGTTGGTTTACCAAATTCTCCTACTTTGGTTTGTAAATTTTTGGTTTATTGAACTTCAATATAAAATATTTAGTTTTCTATCTAAATATTTAATCTATTATGTGATAATATGTGATTTTTGTATTAAGATTAGTTGAAGTTTCTTCCGTAAATTAATTAGAAACGAAATACTGCTTATGAACTATGAAGAACGATTCTTAATAAAAACTTACATTAATTTTTATCATTTTCTTTTCGAGCTAGGAATTATGGTCCCGTTTGATACTCATCTGGTCTTTAGTTTTCACGGTATTTAACAGAATTAGAGACGAAATACTGTTTATGAACTACAAAGGCCGATTTTTCATAAAAA